CACCCCCACTGCCCCACCTCAGGACTGGAGCACACAAAATCTAATAGGCTGGGCCCTCTAGGCTCTGGTGTGCAAGGGGAATGTGAGGCGTGTCTTCCTTTTTACTTCTCAATCCAGAGCCCCCAATCCACTTGCTTCTTACTTGTGTGTGGCCCTCAATTGATTTTTCTGTGGGTCAGCAGCCCACAACCCAAAAAAAGGTTCCTCACCCCTGTTGTATACTGTCAAATCAATTTTTTAAAAAAGAAAAAGTCTTTACATGTTCTGCTTTCTTGAGTTCCAGCTCTTGCCCTGCAGAGATAGAGAGAAGGTGATCAGTTTATGTGGCCTGGTCTTTCTTTGGCACAGCCGCAGAGACAATGCACTCTCATCTGCATTGTTTTAGGCTTACCTGCGGAGAAGGTGGTGGTATCAGCAAGGTTTAGTTCTCTTACAATTTTACCATCTTCTTCCCCTTGATCTAGCCACCTTTGACGAAACACGGAGCTCATTACGATTCTGTAGTTTTGATCTCAAAGCCAGCAATATTTGACACAATTTTTACATATTTATTGCATTTTAATATTTTGTGAACTGAGGCCCTGACCCAGCAGAGCACTTACCGGTAAGCATATGCTTAACTTTAAGCAGGAGAGAATTCCCACTGACTTCAGTGGGACTGCTCAGTTTTTTAAGGTTATATGTGTGCTTATGTGCTTTTCTCGGTCAGGGTCTAAAAGCACAAGCCAGCCTGATTATGTGGAGATCTCAACTAGCAATCCGAAGTTAGGGATCAGTAATAGCAGATCCACTGCCCACCCTCTCTGCTTTGAAAAGGCCACTGCAGTGAGCCAAGCTGTACAGATCTCTAAAATTACCTCTCATGAAGCAAATTTATTGCAGGCTAAATAAATAACCGTCCTGCCCATGCCATCCAATCCAGGTATGAACAATGCCATAGAAAATAATAATAAAAAAGTTCTTTTCTCTTTTCACTTATGCTGCATAAAGTAGAGCTCACACAATTAAAATCAAAGGCGCTGAACCACTGTAAAAGTGATGTCAGTGAGAGGTGTATCTGGTCCTACCACCCCACATGGGATTTTTTTGGTGCCAAACAGATTTGAACCAGCCCTGAATTATTTATTAAACTAGCATTGTATTTCAAGCTCCCTCTGTAGCAGTTCATCTCACTTACAGTACTGAATCAGAATTAGGTCACGCAAAGACGTGGTGCTATATCAGATGGGCAGAAAGCCCACACGCACACATAAATCAATTTCAGGATGCACATCAATCACTCAAAGCTGTCTTGAGCCCTTATTTATTCACTGGTAGAAATGAAAGAAGGACACCGCCGCCAGTGCCATTGGCAAGCTGTAGCTGGATTCCTACGTGACTGGACTTTGCCAATTCTTAATATTTATACTGATTTTTATTATCGCTGTCCATAAGCCGTTTGTGATTTAATGAGGCCTGAGCAAAGGAGTCGCAGATTCAGAGTGGAAGAGGCCACAGGAGAAGCAGCAGGGAAATAGGGATTGCTTCCAGCTCTGCTGCTGCTCAGTGATAGGTAGACAGGGAAAGGACCAGCCACTCAGAGACACATCAGTGATGGCAATATCTTGAGAACCAAGAGGCTGATCCTCAGACTATTGAAGGAAATGGCAAAGCTACCATTGATGTCATCAATAGTGCAGAATTACCCTTAAAGAGAGAACAACCCAGCCAACCAAAAAGTGTTGCCGTGGAGAGCAGAGCAGAGCAGCTGATGTCAGATCCAAAGTGTTGGATGAGAGGAATGTTCCAGTCAGCAGCTCCTGAAGGTTTTAGCAGATGTGGGCTGGAGACTCCTAATACAGAACTTTTCAATGCTCAGTCAATGGTGAAGTGTATCCCAGGTCTGAAGTGATCAGATAGGCTACGTCTACACTGGCATGATTTTCCGGAAATGCTTTTAACAGAAAAGTTTTCCATTAAAAACATTTTCGGAAAAGCGCGTCTAGATTGGCAGGATGCTTTTCCACAAAAGCACTTTTTGCAGAAAAGCGTCCATGGCCAATCTAGATGCGCTTTTCCGCAAAAAAGCCCCGATCGCAAAAATGGCGATCGGGGCTTTTTTGCGGAAAAGCGCATCTAGATTGGCCATGGACGCTTTTCTGCAAAAAGTGCTTTTGT